TGAAGGATGCAAGGGCGATGCACTTGGTACCGTATCAGCATTTGTGGCTTTGACAGATAGTGGAAACAGTCCCCTGCGTTTGGGAGAAAAGAGCTGCCAAACAGCAGCCGTGGGTCCCTGGCATATTCCTTGCTGTGATAGTGGTCTTTCCGTGGCTCTTGGCCCATTGTTCTAGACTTGCCGAACGGTAAAGGGGGAGTTGGAGAGGAGGTCACACAGGAGCTACCACGTGCCGTTTGGCCATTGGCTATTAGGATGCGGTTGTTTGAGAATGGGCGGTACCGAGCGGCAGCTGGGCTTCCCGATGACGAACCCATGGCACAAGAGTATGCGCTTTGTGATGCTTCTGCAAAAGGAAGCTATTTCCTACCGAACGGCAGGTTAACATTCCGATGAGAAGTAGCTCATCTAGCTTATGACTATCCGAGGTTGCCGATCGAAAACCATGGTGGGAGGCTAATAGCCTGATCGTGGCTTGCCGCTGGGCATATCGCGCTTTGCTTTCCTACCGAATGATAAGTGAGTCGCAGATCTGATATAGGTGATTTGGGGGCTCTTGCAAGCTCGGTCGTCAACTTCCCGAACAGTAAGATGACGGTGTCGAGAGTGTAGCTCATGATGGGGAAGATGACCAGCTCCCGTACGGTATTCATTGTGGAAGCAGTGGAGCTATGCTATTGGGGGTTCGGCAAGGTCCACAAAGGTTGCAAGCATCCATATCCCTTCTGCATACCGATTGCCGTTCGGCATAGGTGATTGAAGGAAGTCTTCCGTGCTTTTTCTTCCGTTAGCCCATTGACTTGTCTCTTTTCTTCAGCATAACCCTTGCCGTTCGGCAAAGGTGGGCTGAGGATTTCTTGAAGTCCCCCTTGGATCCTCACTACCATTCGACAATTTATGCAGAACACAAGGACTAAACAATATATGCTGGAAATGGGCTGAAGATGTGTCAGCTCCAGCAAGTACCAGAGTTTCCATTCGGCAAGAGACAAATGAGGTCTGTCTTTAAGGCTCTTTGTTGCAGAATAATAATTTTTGCGGAATTTACCGATGGGCATTCCGTAATTTCAGGCCCTTGATCTACTCTGATATGGATCGGTAGTGCTGGTTTTTTATTTTTTTATTTTTTTATTTTTTTATTTTTTTATT